CATGCATTTTTTTTTTAAAAAATTAGGAAAGTCCAAATAAGTTTAAGTTGTTTAAGTGCATAGTAAATAAACGTGTGTTTCACGGCATGCAATTCGGACAAACCCCTACAAGAGACGGCATGCAATTTGGACATTTTTTTTTTGCCATGCGATTCGGATGCAGCCTATATATGAAATCGATTTGTATACAAAATGAAAAGTAATAAATTTTAAATTTTAAATGTCATATTTCCCCAAGTAACTTAGCATTTTAACCTAAAGTTAACACTCTATTTTATCTATTTTCTAAGTGAAACCAACAGGCTATATATTTTATATTATTTTTGTATCATCACATACCCAGCAAATTACATTTTATATAATATTATACTTATCAGTTATAATAAAATCGTCTAGACTGAAAAACAGAACATGACGTGGGTGACGTGTTTGACTATGACGATAGTGTGCGATGGGTGATCTTAGTTACTTCAGCCGGATGAAGTGGATCCGGTTCTGGTATGATATGTACCGACCCAAGTGGATGATATTATAGGTCCGTATAATCCGGTTTGTTTCTGTTTTGGCTACCGTGTAAGCATTTTGTGACAAAAATCGCACAATAACTTATGGTCCTTGATACTACAAAAATAATTTGTGGACTTGCTTATCGACCACAGAACTCTAACGACGTGTTCGTACCAACACACGATCCCCGATGACAAACTTTGTCACTAGACCCTGTTGGTCATGACGTAAACGTCGTCGCTCGGCGTGGGACTGCTGTACCTCGCGTGCCAGAATCATCTTTGTTTGCTAAGACAGAGCGACGCTAAGTGGAAAAGAGACTATCTACAGCACTAAATGGGTTCGAGGTTGAGAAACAATTTTTGCGGCGTATACCCTGTCGCTTTGTGCACAGTGTTGTTCAGTATCCGTTCAACGTATCCAAGGTATCTTGGCCACTCAGCATGATTTTGGTTACAGTAAGTTCGAAACATCCTCCCGAGTTCCAGCATAACTCGTTCGGCCGGGTTAGACTGAGGGTGGTATACTGAAGTCAGCGTTGAAGTCAAAGTTTGGATTATATTTAATACTTATACAATCAATAAATATTTTACTATCAACAATTATTGTAACTATGTAACTACTGGTAAATAACAGAAGGACGGGGTACGGGGATATAAGTTGTTCTAAACTTATGTTTAGAAACCTAAAAGTTGTTTATATTTTGTCATCCATATTTTTTTTAAAATATTTTAAGATATACAGATATTAAATTTCAAGATGCAAAAGTTGAGTTACCTTTACCTACGTTAAAGTCTCTAGTATTTTATGTATAATTAATAATTAATACGTGTGAACCTTTGACTATAAATTATAATATAATTATAAATAAATTATAGTATGTATTACTGTCCATCTAGTGTCTATACGTATATCTTTTAAATTAAATTCATATGTATTTTTTTTAAATCATCTGCTTCACAATCATTTAGAGTGAAATTGTGGTTTTAGTTTGTAAAAAAGAAACTTTTTATAAACGGTATAAGGAATCGTAAGTATTTGAAAAAAAAAAACTCCACACATAAGACGTTAAACTACAGATACCTATAGTAAATCTAATCTTTTTGTAGAATGACAAAAAACAAAATTGTCCTACCAAATTCCTCAAGTATTACGCTAGTGGGGTATCGATGTTTCATATAAAGTGTCGCACGACGTCGTCGATTATAGCTGTCAGTTATTAGCTATCAGTTGTCTCTGTGTTACACATGTACGACATAGACAAAACGGGTTTACGCAGTCTGAGTATAACTAGCTCAGTTTTGGTGTTGGAATAAAAACACCTATTACGAAATTAAATAGACAATAAACTCACAAATAAACTCGAAAATTTATAGTCGAGTGTTTTTTGAAAAAATTAAATTTAAACTGAAATATAACTGAATTAAAAAAAAACAAATTATAAAAATAAATAAATTAAATTCGTAAGATTTAACAAACTTACTATCATAACTTGGAACGATCATGATTAATGTAATATGAACAATAAAAATAGTATATTAACAGTAAAGAAACATTGGCGAATCGTGCCAGAGAATTAGAATAAAAAAACGGTTTATGGCAGAGTTTGATGACTATACCGCTGACCAGTACGTAGGTACTAAGAATTGAATAATTTACCATTCATTATAAGTTATAACACATTAACATTTAACACCCATATAATCTTAAGTCCCCAGTAATACTCCTAATAAAGATTTATTTTAAATTCCACTAAGCCGTGACAATTTCGAAAGAAATGCTCCCCTAATAATAGATAAGAATGATGTCCATACTTAATAAGTATCAATAATTCCATACTTAGAAACATTCATCATTTTTATTCATGTTTAACGCATAAAATATGTTTTATTATTACAGTTTTACGTATATTTATTATATCATATTACTTTGTTTGTAAAATTATGTCGATATCGTTATAAAAGCCGACTGGTGTTATTAATGGTGTAATTAATAAGAAAAAAAAATGTATGATGTAGGTACCTAATTGTGGTTAATACGATGTATAAAAATATGGCTCGCACGCAATCAACCGGTGGCAGTGTTAAAAGTCGCGCGCCTGCAAGCCGTTAACACGTCGCTCATAATCTTCCTTATAACGGTAATAATTAATACACCTGTTATTGTTATAAAATTCACATGACACGAACCAAAACTACGAGAATAGAAAAATAACGATACTTGCCGTCATGTGTGTATATCAGCTGTTATTTGATAAGCTGTTCAATTATAATATAGTTCGTAATAATGGTAGGCATAATATTATCTATAGTATCTATACTATTATATAAAGAGGAAAAATTTGTTTGTTTCATTTTTAAACTTTATGAATTATTAAAAGAAGTTTAAAATTCAGCAATAAATGGGTTTTGGAGAATAAGGCATTGCAAATAAATCTAAACTACCCGTGTTGTACTACGGCCATACTAATACCTTTTAAATCTATACTTATTATATAAATAGGAAAGATTTATTTTGTAACAAATAAACCAAAAAACTACTGGACCGATTTCAAAAATTATTTCACCAATAGAAATCTACATTCTTCGTGAGTGTCATGGGCATACATTTAGTCCGATAAAGTGAATAAATAATTAGTTATTAATAATAATAACTGATTATGAATATAAATAATAAAAGTGTAAATTGTTTATCTATATATGTCACGACGGGCTTTGAGTTTCAAGCTAAATGACATTTGTTGTTTTGTATGTGTTTTATTGTCGTGTAGATAAGAATTGTTCCGAAAAATAAAATTCGACAATCTATATAAATATACCATATACGATATACGTAGGTATAATGTAAAATATTTTTCTAATTTAATCTTTAGTTATGGTATTTAATTATTTAAAATCCAAGTTTGACATTTGGTTCAAACTAAATTGTTTGAAATGTGTAATAATCCTATAATGAACTAAATCAGTATTGTTAATTATGATAAAATATCGGAAAACAATTGGTACAATATTGTTCAATTTTTAATAACGGTAATCTCTAAACTATTATAGTATTGGGATAATTTTATCAAAAATTAAATTGTTTTCTTAAACTAGACATTATAATAAGTAACAACTAATAAGTGTGGTTCCCTACTAGATAGACGATTCTCTAATGTCTCCCAAGGTAAGAATTATGAAGCCGACAAAATGGCCGATATTCTCTTATCTAAGAGGTGAATATACACAAAATATAAATTATGATAAACCGTGATAATTTTATATCGAGATCCACAACGGCCAAGAGACTATTACTCAATAGCGGGTTTTTACATTTATCTGTTTGAGATTCATATTTTGAAACCAAAAATAGAAGTGATTGAACTGTGAGTACTCGTGTTTCCTTACAAGTTACACCATAATATTATGTAACACCAAACACGCCTACATCCAGTCTTGTAAAGTATTTGAGTAAATATATTTAAATACTGTATTGGACGCAGGTATTTGTAATTTAAATTGAGATACTTCCATGTTAATATTTTATAATTCAAAACAATTATTCATCAGTTGTCACGTATCAGGTTTTTTTTTGATATTAATTATATTATTTTATTTATAATATTTGCCCCTTTAACAGGGAAATAACGATCAGGGTTACAATGAAGGATGGGTTCCCCAGCCGATAGCGCTTAGCTTAAACAAGCGACTACTACTCGGCGGAAAGGCGCTCGGGATGACGGTACTTAACCGTTAGAGATGAAAATAAAAGACTGACTAAGTGTCTTGCTTTGATTTGTTAGAGAACTCTGTATCAAGCTTAGTGCTTCTTTCAGAGAGATTTAAGTGAAAAATGAGAGTGATGAGTTTGGGTTGGTATGAGGCAATTACTAAGTCAGTGGTTTTTTAAGAAAGTCTAAGATCGAATACCCGGTGGTAGATGAGCTTTTCTGTCCGACGGATTATGCATTACAGAATTAGTCTTTACGTTGTCTGATATGATTTCTGTGAGTAATTGGATAGCCGAGTTTATATGCTCATCCATGGATAGATGAAGGGCTTGGATTCCATTTCAACTTCATTTTTTTGCCAGTCGGTGAAGAAAAGAATTTTTGACGGACACACGTGTGCAGAGTGGTGATGTATATCAAGCAGTACAGGAGAGTGGTCAGATGAAAGCTCACTTGGGAACATAAAAAGTCTACTCTTGATGTACCAGTTGTGCAAAACACTGTGTTGGGCTGGATAATATCTGGTGGTATTAATGTGTCATATACGTTCAATGAAAACTGCTTTCAAACTACATGCTACTTCGAAAAAACAGATGATCTCAAGTCATTAGTAGAAAGATTTTCTAAAATTGATGATGTAGGCTAATGTGAGAATGCCCCATCATCAACAGAAAAATAATGTCTGAACTGGTTCAAGCAGACAGCCACAAAAGATACGTCTGGTCGTTTCGTGGTATCATTAGTTCGTAAACTCAATGCATCAGAACTAGGAGAATCTAAGCAAATGGCACAACACAGATTCTTTGGGTTAGAAAAACGTCTTTCTAAAAACGCCTCACTAAAGAATTATTATTCTGAATTCATGAACGAATACTTAACACTTGGACAGATGGAAGCTGTGGAATACCATGAGTTAGAGATGAAACAGCATGTCTACTACCTACCACACCATGCTGTCATAAAAGAAAACAGTTCAACCACAAAATTACGAGTCGTGTTCGACGCATCAGCTAGAAAAAAAATCAGGAAAATCACTAAATTACATTTTACATGTTGGACCGACTGTGCAAGATGAATTGATTAACATAATGATCGGATTGTCGAATGTACTGCCAAATGAACGAGTCACAGAACAACCACGCATGAGTACGCCAATTCACAAAAACATAAAATCACAAATACATACGTTTTTAAGTAAATCACAAGCACAAGTAATATATGCTTACCTCAACAATGATATACAACAGTGGATATTCGTCAATGCATGAAGTTCAATACGATTGTGTAAGACTTGCGTCAACATCTAAACTTCAAGACCAGGCGGCCAGCACATGTGATGCTGCGCTGCTATGATCTAATAGGGGATAAAACCAGTTATATAAAAAGTAAAATCGGAAAATCGTCCAGTCCATTTCGAGACCAGTCCATGTCGCAGAGCAATGTGTACCTCTACGGGCACAATGCTTCTGCACCAGAGCATCATCAGAACCGGACCAATACGGAAGCCCAACGCCATTTAACATCGAAGACACGCACAATTTTTCGCTCTATCTTTTTCAAACCAATAACTTTAAATCGGTCGCTATTTAATAATTTTAAGTCAAATTTAAATAGAACATCAATTTAAACACACTTAAACACACTTCTTGGCTTAAATTTAAATTTATGCATCTGATTTATGGTATACTTATAATACAACATTAATAGAGCCTGTCCCTCGATACTTTAGTATGTGAGTAAACTCTTTGAAGTGTTTGCATTCTAAATATATCACAAGGAAAGATACATACTCAACTATATCCTGAGTATTGAACTTATAATATAGTTATAATACAGTACTAATAGAACCTATCCCACGATATTATTCGATAGAAGACGTATGTGACGGAATTCTGTATCTGTGTTCCGAATAAATTATAACATTCACTTACTTAACAAACCTCCTAAAATTGCATCCACAACCATTAAACATTACATGAGTGTTCTCACAAATAAATACTGAGATATTGTATATATCATAAAAAGGACAAGTTATTGCAATCAAACACTAAGGTGTTATGCAAAAATAAATAAACCAAAATAAAAATATAAACTGTAGTATAACATAATAAATATAGTAACATAATAACGTCACGACCTGATATCCAAATCATACGAAGACCATAAGTATAGTTATAGAAGTGAACCATACTTGGTTAGTTAAAACATTGCAATAATAAGTGCGCATCGAAACAGAAGAACAACGAAGACACCCAGGTCAAGAATCATGTCGTCGCTGCGGCCAACGTTAGTGACACCATATTCATAACTATCTAAGTCAAGACTTAACCCCATTCCCGTTTATGAACAATAATAACATCTACCTAGTAGTCGAATAAAATCATTTACACATATATGAATAATATTATACAATCACACCAAAAAACCAAAATCGTTAATATTGATTTTAATATGTAATTTCGTCCAAATTTGAACTTAAAATTACTATAAAAATAAACTGTGCTTGTGTATTTTTTAGATTTTTTGGTAACAGATTTCACTACTTACATGGAATCTTGTTTTACATTTTTAATTCTTAGATATAAAAGTTGAATATTTTATAAATTTTTAACTACAAAATAATTATTCAATTTTAAATTTGAAACATTTTGTCAAAATTCGATCTTTAAATGCTTATAAAAAAAAGTTGTGCCTTTGTATTTTTAATATTTTTCAACTGATATTGTAACAATATATCAGGAGCTTTGTATTAAATTTTTACATTTTTTGGCCCAACAGATAAAACTTTATTGATATTTATAGAAAAAATAACTAAAAAAATTGAAAACTGAAAATGTCCGTAAACAGCTCAAAAAGAGTCACAATATTTTCAAAATTGTAAGGTGTATAGGAAACACTAATATAAATAAATAAATAATAAATAATAAATATTCAGTGAAGTTTTCATGTATTTACAGTCATTCGTTTTTGAATTACAACAAAATAAGGAAATCGTTACACGAGAAATTGAGTGAATATCCAATGTTGTAAAAATTTGAATTTCAAACGCTCATAAAAATTTAATTTGACTTTCTTATAGACATTTTTTTTTTAAGTAAAGTAAACTTGTTTATAAATTCAAAGATCTTTACATTTTTTAATGATTTCCACCATTCATTAAAATTATTAACTAAGAATTGAAAATATGTAGTGATTAATAATTTTAAAATAATAATATTATAGGTAGGTGGTAAGTAAAAAATAAACGAATCCTATGTTAGTTACTAATTGTTTGATAGATGATATGAATATACATAAAATAATTTATAGAAAAATAATAATATATAATATAATATAATATTATGATTGTGAAAGTGCAGAACAAATAAATAGTCGAAACTTCAACAAAAGCAATCGATACACTAATCAAATTTTAGAAATGAAACTGAACTCCCTGTCAGCTATTTTAATATAATCATAAATAATTTATTATGTAAATAATATAATAGTATCGGCTAATAAATCCGTTGTTGGCTGAACAATTTTTGCAACATATGAAATTATTTTAAAACATTAAGCAAAATTAAATATATAAAACAATAACCGATTGAGCATAATATTTTCAAAAGAATCCTTAAAATCACTATCGATAATAGGCAGTTTATTGATTTGTGATCATGTAATTATTGTTAATTACCTCCATTGTGAATACACTACTTATAATATATTTGAAATATCTTTTCGATTACTAACCATAAATTGTGTCATTATTATCAGTGTTGGAGAAAAATAACCAAAAAATCATCCGGATAAGATAAAATATAACATAATTTTTTTTTTATCAAGATAAAGATAAAAATACACATACATTTATCTAGATAAAAAAATAGATAATTTGTTTTTAAATAATATATATTATTACTTTATTAGTAATTACTAGTTAGGTAATATTTATTAATTATTAATCATTAATGACTAATGTCATTTCTTAACTAAAATAATATACATTTTTAATTTGTATTATAACTTAAATAAAAATAAAATAACAAAATAAAAATGACGATGTTTCAGTAAACATTTATTTTTTTAACTATAATAATATTGGAATATGATATCACTAGTATATTCTCTTAAATATTGGCTATTTCAGTATTTAAAAATATTCTTACTATCATATTATATATCTAGATAAATTGCCACAGATAACCGTTACATTTATCTAAGTGAGATAATTAGTTGGCTTAATTATTTTTATCTAGAAAAGATAATTTAAGAAATAGTTTTATCTAGATAATTCCCGACACTTATTTTTATCATATAACACAAAGTGTGATACGTACTTCTATTTTTCAGATGAAGACCTCTGTTTTTACTGTAAATTATTTAGTAGATCATTTAGATCATCATGTTTGAAGTACCTTATTAAAAATTCGTACGAGTAGTCTGACAATTATTAAAAAGTATATACTAAGTCTAATAGTCCTTAAAAATGGTTTTACAAAAATTATCAATATATGTAAGTAATATTAGATATAGTATTTATTATAACTTGGACCATTTTTAGAAATGATTAATACTGATGGGTGGATATCAAATACTAAGATTTTCAAAACTCTATAACCGAAGGTACTCTATACCTTCCAAACCCATTGCCATTTTATTATTATCCTTATACCATATTTGCCTTATACTAGGTAAAATATAACTAAAAAATATTCGCGCAAATTTTGATTCTGATACATCAATATTTCCAAAAAAATTATCCACTAATTAACTTACAGTAAAAATATCCTTGTAAAAATATTGGTACTCGTAAAAATATCCCCACATGACACTCCTCTTAATGAACCTAATTAAAAAATTCAAGAATTCGAAAATATAGTGTTTAATTATATTCAAAAATACCAAAAATCATATTTGGAATAACAGCGTTATTGAAAAAGAAATAAGGGGATGAGCATGATCGGTGAATCACCCTGTATGTTGTAATTGTGTGTATAAACTTAGACACATTTTTAAATATAATGTGTATACCTACCGCAGTGATATCAGTGGCGCATTCATGGATAGGGTTCTAGGGTTCTGAAATTTCAGAAAGGTTCATGAAATGTCTTCCTTTAATAAAAAATATCCTATTTATCACCATTTCAATACACAGAGTCGATCAATTGTTGGTCATTTTAATATAACATACATTTTAAATATGACAAGTTTCACTGACATAATATGACATAGTTTCAGTTTTTTTGGCTGATTTAGATCATTGCTAAACGTCTGTTATAATCGGTGTATCATCATATTGTATCATTGTCCATAGATTATTACCACGTTTATTACGACCCGAAAAGGCTCTATAGATAGACATTATAGGCACTATAATAGGTGTCCGGGTTGAACACTCGAGTATTCTCAATGTAGACTAAACTTGTGACCAACTATAATTTGTTAAAAACAATTATATAAAAACTGTTGAGAAAAAATACTGTAAATTATTTACTCAGATAAAACCCTAACCGAACTAAAATCCTGCGTACGCTACTGGATATTGTTATGATTGTTTGCACCTCACACATGCTAAACCGTGAGTATATATATAGGTACCATCAGTAGGTACTGTTATAAACGCAAAATATATGGAGACATGTTTGGCTGACACATTTTCAGAAAAAAAAAACAAACACGCATTGTCGGGCGGAAAAAAATCAGCAACGATAATATATTATTATATAATAGTATACACCATTACTGTTTTACTTTTTCGTCGTAACTAACACGGCGATGCCACTCCGCGCACTCGACGTCTATCGGAAGTATATAATATCGGAAGCACATAGACATTTATATATATATATTATAAAGGCAGTGTTGTGCCCGCTCGCTGTATAGGTACGTGTAAAACGGCTATGTCATAACGGCGTTTAATCGACATTATAATAATAGTAATAATAATAAATTGTATAAATATAAAACACTATAATTTCACGCCGCCTCAGCTCCGTCGTCGTCGTCGTCGTCGAACTGCTAAAAACGTACGCCGCCTTAAGCTCCCGTGGCGGGGTGGGGGTGGCGGGAGGGCGAAACTCGCGTACCTACCCT